AGAAGCCCCACAAGTTTGTCTCACCCCGATGTGTTTGCATTTTAACACCTATTTGAGGAGGAATCTCGGAAACCTAGAAACGGTCGTAAATAAGTTTGTTACCTGTTACAAAAATTTTCACATAAAATCACATAATCATCTAGGACATAGGCAAATGTGAAATTATGTGAAGCATTTTCACATAAAATAACATTCTGACCTCTTATGTGGAAAAATGTGATTTGAACTTCACATAATTTCACATTTGACTCCTTTCAGTTTGCGGGGTAAAACCGCTTCACATTTCTTCACATCTTCTCACATTTTGAATTCACATTTTTTTTGGCCATCTTTTCGGGTTGTGTGATTTCACATAATCGATTCACATTTTTCAAACAGTTACATTGTTTCACATAAAATAACATTTGACGATTCACATTTTGAAAAAAAATCACATTTTGGGTTTCACATATTTCTAATGGGATTCACATTACATCACATTTTTCACATTTCATTAAAATTTTGCACGAAATTCACATAATTTTCACATTCATGCACCTGGTAGTGTTATATACTAAAAGTACTCACAAATACGCTGCTCTAGATATAAACACAAATACATACGGCCTGTACTCACAAATATACCGCTCCAGATACAAACACATGCTATATACGGCCTGTACTCACAAATATACCGCTCCAGATACAAATACATGCTATATACGGCCTGTACTCACAAATATGCCACTCCAGATACAATATATGTTACATGTAGATACGACAGCTATTCACAAATACGCCACTCCAAATACAAACACGTGCTATATATGGCTTTTACTCACAAATATACCGCTCCAGATACAAACACATGTTATATACGACTTGTACTCACAAATATGCCGCTCCAGATGGGCCCGGCGATGTAGGTGAGGAAGGTGGGCCGGTTCTTGGACGCCATGATGGCGACGGCGGCGGTACCGAGGATGATGCTGAGCGTCCCCAGGACCAGCAGCGTCCAGCCCAGCCTGTGGATAGCCTTAGCGTGGCACGCCATGGTTCTGGGACGGAAGGCAACAGGCTGTTATCATTACAAGGTAGTGGTTAAAATACTGTTTTTTCAATGTTTTGCAATACTGCAGAATGTCACAATATTGTTCTGCAATTTGGAAAGTATTTCTGCAGATATACACTTTTAAGCCCTGACTCAAATCCCTACAAAATTGCATGTTGGCAAACATTTCATATGCAAATTTTAAAAATACATGCATAATTAGTATATCATAAAGTCAGTAGTGAGCAAAATTTCCTAATTTCTATTTTATTTTATAATATTATAAAGACAAATTAAATCCCTATTCTAATTTTTTCAGTCTGCAAAATTGCAGGTTGCTTAGTTTTTTCTTCTGCAACATTGCTAAGTTCTCTGCAAAATGCAGACTGCAGATGGGTATTTCTAACACTGCAAGGTCTCATTCGTGAGTTTTTTTCGACACATTGTAAACAATACATTAATGATCCAACAATCCTTCAATTGATATCGGTCTTTTGCTTATCGTAAAACTTTTGGTTCAGGATACTTGTTTTTTACTCCTTGACCTTAGCATTTTTTTTGGGGTTTGGCCCAAAAGTGACTTTAATCTCTTGGTAGGCATCGCAAAATTGGTGCCCAAAAAATCTGCGACTGTTACGAAACACAGGGGTGCTGTTGAAATGAGATTTGTGATGTGTAAATGAATAGTTATGGCTTCACCACAAAGTGGTGAAGACATATTGTGTTCCCTCATGTTTCTTCTCCTCCTCCTGCCATTTCTTTAAATGGATTCATCTCTGCCATTTTCCGGCCAAATAACGCGAAATTTGGCATGAAGGTAGAGTGGGCAAATACCCCGACGCGTTTTTTCATTTTTTTTAAATTGTTTTATTTGGGTTTTTTGGCCATTTTCAGGCAAAAAATATACATTTTGAGATCTGGTTCCCAGGTACTAAAACCAAATGACCTGAAATTTGGTATGGGGATACCTTGGATATATGTCTACAAAAACTCATTCAAGATTTTGACATACACAACTTTAAAATTGGGAAAAATAAGGCTTTTTGGCTATTTTCGGACCCAAAATGTACATTTTTGGCTCCTGTGCCCTAATATTAAATCTGAATGACCTGAAATTCGGTATGGGGATACCTTGAACACGTGTCCAAAGAATGCCATTCACGCTTTTGACATATACCACTTTAGAATTGTGTAGAATAGGGCTTTTTTGCTATTTTCGGACCAAAAATGTACATTTTAGGCTCCTGTGCCCTAATATTAAATCCGAATGACCTGAAATTTGGTATGGGAATACCTTCGACACATGTCCAAAGAATGTCATTCACGATTTTGACATACACCACTTTAAAGTTATGTAAAATAGGGCTTTTTGGCTGGTTCTTGGAGTAGAAATCGGCCAAATTGAGAGATAACTTGCCAGGGGAGTTTTTTTCTGCTGGACAGAATACTTCGGGTGCGGCAAATATTCTCTCCCAGCAGACAAACCCCCCTGGCATGTTATCTCTCAATTTGGCCGATTTCTACTCTTTCCAGCCGCCTCCCGAAGCCTTTTAGAGGCTACACATAATTCTCCTTTTTCAAAAGGTGGTTCAAATTTCAGTCTTTAGTTGAGGTACAAAGCACTACATGTATGTTGTCTCGGTGCCTGTCGTGAATTCGAGTGAGAAGAACGCCTAGAAAGGTTGCCATTATTGACAGAATTATGCGTCCATTGTCAAAGCCGTACCAGTGAGAATATAGTTACCTGCACAGCGTATTGTGCTACTATACAGTCGACTAAACACATTATGTCAACGGCTGACAGCACTACAGGGCTAGAAATTAACGTGTCCCGATGGCCACTTAAATTTAGGCCAGGGCAACTAAAAAGACACTTTGGGAATTTTTTGGGATAATAGGAAAATAATCAACATCAGATCTAGAATGTCAGCCCTATCTTTTGTATATCAGGCACACGTCCTAGCTTTTCGCTCCGGAAAGGTTCCTCCGAATTTCCTGTCTTCTCTGGGAGACAGAACAGAAGCAATATAAAGTTGACTTCAAGTTGAAGTCATACATTCTTGGCTTGTCCTCGCGAACGAAGATCAGGAAGGTTTTTCACGCTAGCATGACCTGCGATATTGATATTTATATTGAAGTCATACATACATTTATATTGAAGTCATATATACATTTATATTGAAGTCAAACATACATTTATATTGAAGTCATATATACATTTATATTGAAGTCATACATACATTCCGAAGAACATGTTGGGACACCTCATCCTCATTTCGGGACGATTGAAATCTATTTTCGGGACAGTGCTGGGACAATAGGAAGAAAAGTTAATTTCGAGGCCTGGCACTAGTGAACTGTGGTGGAATATCTGGCCTAAGGGCATCTCGGTCAGATAAGAAAAGTGTGTCAGAAACAAACGTCCATTTTCTTCTGTCATTTGAGAGTGATATACTATGCATAGAATGTAGCATATCACACTTAAATGGTAGAAGAAAAAGCGGCAATTGGATACCTCTAAAATGTGATACATGTAAACATGTATATTGTGTAAATACAATTCATGGACGGACCACGGAAAGAAATAACAAAGAAAAGAAACAGTCCAAACAACTATGTCTCCTAATAATCAATCCGACAAACCCCTGGCATTCCCTCTGTATTGTCCTTGGGAAATGCTCTTCACACCAATTTCCTCCCTTGACTCAGATGTAAATTAGTACCTGGCTTCGGATAGGGGCTCTTAGTGGTTCAGACCTTACAGTTTAATCTCAGGTTAGCCATCTTGAAAAGTTGATAGTCACCTGTTATGCCCCACGGTGGTAAAATCTGGGCTGCAAAGTTCCCACATTTCATAGAATCCGAACCGTGTTCGATCGTGTTCGATCTGGGCAATTCGAATCGAACCCGCGTTCCATTTCGGGGTCACCTGCGGTCATTTGCAATAAAGCGGCAAAACAAGCCCTTTTGCCTGAGTGACTCGTAATAGATAAAAAACAACACTTTTCTATAAATACAAACAGTTTCCAGGATAGTACATGTCCGCTATCATTTTTTTGTGGACATGTAACATGTAGCGAAGCTACTGTCGTATCCTTGGGTGACCTTGAATACTGTAATGATTCTTTACGCCTGTATGAATAACACAATGCACACTTTTGGGAGATATGACATGTCTGCAAAACTCGTTCAAACCTGGAAACATGGAGAGTCTAACATACCCCATTTACGGCTCAAAATGACTGCCAGGGTTGTCCCGAAAATCGTGCTTTTGGGATTTTTGAAAAATGCGCTTGATTTTGAATTATGGGTAATTTAGTGCGAAAAAAGCCAAAAAATTCGATTTTTTCGCCTATTTGTCGACAAAAACTATACTTAGAGTCAAAAATTAAAAAATCCCTAAAGCACGATTTTTCATCTTATTCCTAGTCGTCGAAAAATATAAAAATCAGTGATCTTGCGTAATATGTGTAGCCAGGTTTGCTCGGTGATTGGCTAAAATATGGCGCTCCGAAATCCCGAAAAATATCGACTTTTTTAACGAAATCCGAAAAAATCATCCATTTAGCGCAAAAAATAACCATTAAATGTATGTAAAGACGATAATTTTATTTTATTTCAATAAAATTTCCTCTCGATACTAGTTTGTTTATTTTCAAATGTTTTACGGTTAGCCCAAAATCGCGTCTTGTAACCCGATACTTTATCGAACGCACACAGCAATGGGAAAGAATGCCGTAGTGACAGACCGCCGTGGATTCGGTGAAGTGTGAGGCCATTTTCTACTGCCTCAGGCACGGATCCAGGTAATAAGTATGTGGAGGAAAATACACTCTAAGTATCATACATACACACTGACAAAACCCTATAGTTCTAAATATATATATCTACAAAAAAAAGAAAGCAAAAAATTAACAACTAAATGGATTTAAAACCTGACTGGATAAATAGTTTTCTGTCAGATGTTAGACAATTTTCCAAAGGACTTTCATAATAACTGAACTCCAAGTTTTGTTGATAAACTTGTGACACCCCCCGTGACATTACACCTCGGGGTTTGCATTGACAAGTGCATGACAGGCTTGGCAATGAAGTTGAAGTTTATGGACAACATCTGTGTAGATCCCGGTGACGATTCGTCAAGGAGGGTGTCTTGAGGCCACGTCCAATTATAGCTCAGATCAATCTTGAACTGTTTAGGAACGGGAAAACCTAACGCAAGCGTGACCATTACCGCTTCCCGAATGCTGTTTTCTGAACCTGTACGCTATGTTTTACATATCCATGTCTTTGTCAAATTGGTTGCCTGTGGTAAACCTTGCGTTTTTCTCTGGGGAACGTTTTTGGAAGACTCTAATATACCTTGTTAATTAACTCACTTTATTTGGCAATCCCTGCGCTGACGCCTCAAGCCATGGCTTCCCTCCCAAAACGCTCACAAGACGCAAATGTCTGAAATCTCTGAAAGCGACACGCTAGTAACGATTTAGACCATATCCCTACTTGTTCCACTGTAAATGGTGGTTTGATAGAACCATACCAAAAGCGTCTGTCTCGTTCATGAGTTGAAATATTTTTAGTAGCAACGTTACAAGTTTGTTAACACACGTGTTGGAAGCACCGTAACTGTTTCTGTTTTTTTCTTAAAAAATTCCGCACACACGCACGTTATGCTATCATGTAATCAAAATATCGACAAAGTCTAGATGCCTGTGACATAGTAAGATCTTGTCTTTGATAGCTTTAAATAAATGAAAACAAATGGTACCTCAGAAATTGGCCATTTCTGCTCAGCTTTCAGCTAATCCCAATCGGAAGCTCTCGATTTGATTGACAGCTCTCTCCTACGATAATGCGTCCCTCCGAGTTGAAAGGAGAACAGTTTAAATTATTTAATGAGCTGGAAAATTTTGTGGGCTCCTGTTTATTTTCTCCCTTTCTAGTCTGATTGACCCCACCGCAAACTTTGCCGGCGAGTAGAAACAGTTTTTCTTGGCGGGGAGGTTGTCGGATCTGTGACAGGCCGTGCCGCGTACTTAAATGAGGTGCGAGACACACGAGTTCACGCTATTGTTATGTAGAGTTGAACAATCGCTTGCCGGCGGTATCATTGTCGCTTTGTTCTGTCAGTCGGGTTGAGTGGT